TCTTCAGAACACACTTAAACATTGATGTAAATTCCGAATTCGACATAATCAATCCCCTTCTAAAGCTCTCGATAACTTTTTCATGGGTTCCTGACGCTCCATTACTTATTTGCTCAATACAAAATCACTACCTATACAAAAGTGTTAAAAAAGAAACTATTAATACATTAGAACAACTCCTAATAATCTCATATAATAATAACACTGATAAGTCTCTAAATAGCAAAAAACTTTTTACTAAATATATACATTAATTACAAAATGAATTCATAATTACGCCTGTAGATAAGGCTCCCAACAACCACGTTTTCACTTTTAAAAGACAATACATAAAGATACATTCTTCAGAACCAGGAATTAATTTTAAAAATAATTCTAAATGCTACTTATGAAATGGTAAAGGAGAAACGCACTGACGTCATTACAAGACATATTCAGATACACAACCAGTTTCAACTTCTGCTAGATGATAATAATAAAATAATTCCTTTTACATATGCAATTCCAAAATTACATAAAACACCTTACAAATATCAATTCATAGCAGCCGCTACACATTCAAGTATTAAACCTTTACTTTACAAATCCACCGTATATCAGTACAGTCGTTTATAATAAAATTAATAATTTTAACTCCACAGTTAACAGATGTTCCTATTTGGATAATAATATTCATTCTAATACACATAACAATATCGTTTATATTCAACTATTAGGATTTCCACGTATGGAACCTATTCTCGAAGGGTTTATAAAAGATGCAATAAACTTACTACTAATTTATAAAAGACGAGGCTTGAGTCGATATAAATTACATAAAATTTGCCGATCGCCTTTCTCACTTTATAGATTTTATTTTACGAAATACTTTAACCCTAATAACAACAATTCCAATAAATTGTTTCATCAAATACAGTCTTATATAATAATTCCATAAAACACAGCCTTACCTTATTCTCTCTTCAGCCTTATTTTTTCCTTCCACATTTTTCCCTCTTTATATGTATATATAAAAAGGGAAAATGCGTGAAAGGAAAATAGTATATATACATATATATATATATATACATATATATTCTATTGGCTTTACTTACCCATTTGCCACGCTCATCTATTACCTTTACACACAGCTTTTTTTATCTACTTTTGTCTCCCCCAGTTGCACATATAAATCACAATTTTTATCTCCCTATTGCGCAAATACTTCATCAAACATTGATATCACCCTTTCTTCTTTTTTATA